TGGGCATACTGGTTATACTGTGACGCCACTGCTGACGCTTCCGAAAGATCTCTTCGTTGATTGGCTGCTGCTCGACGCTTGCCACTTGCTGCGTGCAGTCAATGGCCGCGTTCAGCAGACACAACTGTTGAGTGAGCGCTCAATGATTTCTTAACGTGATTGGCTGGATCTAAAAGTATTAACCAATCATACTGATCGCTCACTCAACAGTGTGTCTGCTGAACGCGGCCATTGGATACAGGCCTTTAAACAATGCCTTCAAAACTTGCCATTCGACTAGCAAAGAGAGAGAAAGAGAGAGAGAGAGAGAGGGTGGGGATGAACGATGGGAGGATGGGAGGGAGAGTGTCAGGTTGCCCCATCTGTTGTTTCTAGGTCGCGTCGTGACGGACGCGGACCATGAGCAAAAACCAAGCAAAAAGGCAATGGCGGCTACCCGTAGGACAGCCAGCGAGCTCGGCTACGTGAAAAATCTCGGAAAGATGTAATCTACCCGTCGCGATCGACGGGCGTAAATTCGAGGTACGTGATCCGGCGACTCTCCCCCCTGCGGGCCACCATCTTCCCAACGCGGCGGCGCGTCCGGGAGACGCGAGAACGGGACTCGAGGGGGCAACATGTGGATTCCCGAGTGATTCGGTCGGGAAAACACGACTCGTCGCCGAGAAATAATCACCGTCGGGATAATCTCAAGCCGCGCGCGACGCGAATCGAACCTTCTTCCGTCGAACTGGACGTTCGCTCGCGCGCCTCGATCCCGTCGCGCGCCAGCGTCGCGACGGGCGACGCGCGACTTTGCGTTGAACAAACGTCATGTGTTCGTCAGCGACACGCTTGTTTACGACATTTGTCATACGCGCCCGCGCCGATTTCCAATGATGACACGCGTGTAGTATCGCGTAAGAGATCAGAAATCGCTCGCTTCTTCCCGACTTGTCACCCTTGACGCATGTCCCTTGCACACAGTTTGTACGTCACTGTGTGACAAATTTGATCGATGACAGCGATCAAACTTGTACCGAACACTCGTAGCCGTAACATTTCTGCTCTTTCTCGCTGCGTCGGTTTTAAAGTCTAATCTACAATGTGCATTCTGCATTCTAGAAAATTTCGATTTTATATAAACAAAACGCTTGAAAAGGTTTGTCGACAATGTACGATTATGCAATGTATAATATACAATTTATCAACTTGCGCAAATTTTTTGAACGTATTTCTTGAGCTTCTCAAGTCAACCGTTACTGAATCCGTTGCATCTAAGTTATTTTATTATACTAAATTACACTAAACCTACTATTTATTATAGCAAATCTAAGCGTTAGATTCCCACAGGTATTTAAAATTTCCTTATCTATTGACGCAACATACACGACTTCGACATGTATTAATCACCTTTTACTTTGTATAGTTTTTTCTCGCTTGAAAAGGACCAAAACCCATGGTCGAAGCGTAGCGAGTTTGGAACATTAAAATAGCCAGATACGGTCAAAAAAAAACTTGAAGTCGTATTTCTTGACTTGGATTATCTTGGATTAATAACATCCGCTATGTGGATGACACAGTGCTGATCTCCGACAGCATGGAGGACCTCCAACAATTTCTGAACAGGACATAGGTGAAAAAAGCAGAGATATGGGCCCAAACATTAATACAAGCAAAACAAAGTTCCTAATAATAACCCGAGAACCGGACAGTTTTAAAAGCGCCACCTTGAGATGGGGAGAAGCGCCGGTAGAGAGAGAGTGAACAGATACCTGGGGACATGGCTCTGTGCGGAATGGATAACATACAGAAATAAAATCACGCATAGAAATGGCACGAGGAGCAGTTATAAACTTTAAGAAGGTATTTACGTATACAGATTTTGACCTGGACCTTAGAATTATGCTGCAATTCTAAACAAAATCGTAAGACTCGTAACTTGTTCTCGTAAGACTCGTAAGGACTTACGGCGTCGACTACAATTCTATGTATATCGTAAGACGTACGATGACTCGTAAATATCATCTACGATTTCTCGTAAATTTTATGGCTAGCAAGAAGCTGTCTGTAAAATTATTGTTCTAAAGTTTAACTGTAACTTTGCTTTTTACGATTGCTTCGTAAGCTACGATTTTACGATTTTACGATTTATTCATAAATTTGCTTAGAATTGCACCATTAGATTCATCAAATGTCACGTTCAGTCGGTGCTCATTTACGGCGTGGAAGGATAAGCCCTGAAGGTGGCCGCGATGAACAAGTTGGAGACCTTCGAGATGCGGATATATCGCAGGATATTAAAAATACCGTGGACAGGAAAAATAGCTGACAGAAGTCCTGAGAAGAGTGGGGAGAGATCGTGAGCGGCTGAGAGTAGTGAGGAAAAGGACGACAGCGTATCTGGGGCATGTCATGCGTGGCGAACAATACCGACTCTTGCAACTGATAATTGAAGGCAAGATAGAGGGAAGGAGAGGATTAGGACGAGAGAAAATGTCATGGCTACGTAACATCAGGCACTGGTCCGGAATTGCGAGTGTGGGAAATCTAATACACACGGCTAGGAATAGACAAAGAATGGAGAATGTGGTCGCAAATATCCATTAATGGATGTGCACTGGAAGAAGAAAAAGAGAAAGATTTCTTGACTACAAGATAGAATGTTTCTAGACGCGGAGGGCACGTTGTAGATTAGGCTCAAGTTTCAAACTGTCTCGAGATTATGTAAAGTAAACGTTCCTCTGTTTCCCGATAGGTGCATGGCCTGAGGGGCGGGGGATCACTGTTGCCTGCGAAGGTAGAAATGGCACATGGTGTGCCCAGAGGATGGCCGATAGATGGATGGACCTGTTATCGAATCGACTAGACGATGAATGGTGGTTACTGGCAGGTCGAACGGTAGGATACGACGGCAGGCAGGAAGGAGTAAACGAGCGAGCGCACCTAAGTGATGAGCGAGACTCGGCATTATCCTATTCGCTCGGTCTCGGACTTATACGCAGCCGAGGAAATAGAGGTGCTTCTTTTAGAAGAGATACGCGATCTGGAGCCACCACCTGCCATATATTCTAAACCCGAAGACATTCAAGACTTCGAGATTGGTATGTACAGAGTTTCAATCGGCGTTTTTGCGTGCGTTACTCAAGTTACAGTGTACATATGGAATCTTGTTTACGCAACAACAAAAAAACCCCGAGACTCTCCAGACTGCGCCGGTAAACGCTTCACTGGCGCTCACTATAATCGAGATAATTATTAAAACTCTAGCTGCCTTGTCTCACTTACTTCATTTACAGCTGGTTTTCCCAACCTCTTGGTAAGCTAACTTAATAGTTGAATTATACGTCAATATATTTTTGATTTAAAGGAAGAACAACGACGTAGATATGATGTGACTATTAGTTAACTTGCCAAGAGGTTGGGACGATCTGACCTTAAAGTTACGCATAGAATGTAAACTGCATATACGAATGTATACATGGTTTTGATATTGTATCAATAGCAGGCAGTAGGACAGGGGGGCGAATCAGCTCCCAATCGTCAGAGCTGGATTCACCAGGGGTGCACTCGACAGTCCACTCTTGGGATTCGCATGCTAATTATCATGGTCACTATGGTAATAGTGACCATAGACCTGGCTCATCGAACGCCATGCCTTGGTCTCGCGCAAGCCACGTGGTTATTTACTGCGACATACAAGGACACCTTAAGACACCCACGGGTGTCGTTAGACTTTTATTACTCGTGAGTGTGAAGCCACTTTTACGTAGGAGATGTATGACAAACTCAAAGTTTGTGCTACCGACATTTTTATATATAGATACATTAATGAGCGCATTTCGTAGATATCCTCTGCAGCTTGTTTGGCAACTTTGTGCAGTTCTGGCACTGCCAAGGTCAGCATCTTTATGCTGCCTTTAGCAGATCGTTTACGATTCATGATCTTTGTAGCTGTTTTCTGTTTCTTGGTCACTGCAGCCCTTCTCTTCCTTGATATTTCGCATGTCATTTACATCCTTCCTTTAAATTGGGCCAAGCTGGTAAGTAACGTTTCGCTACGACACACGTATGTTTCAGAAATTATTTGTGTAATTTATTTAGATATGGCTAGACTTGTCGATGCTGTTACGTGTAAGAGTTTATTACCCTTTTTTTTTTCTAGAATGCTCTAGTATTCACTGGCATAGGCTTGTCATATGCTGCGAGTAGCGCGTTACTAGCATGTACAGTATGGGAATACCACAGTGGAGGTTGGGTATCGAAACGCACACGTTCTCAACTGACTGCTGCAGCGGTAGTGGGACTTTTCTGTGCTCTCTTAGCGTTTTTACTATCCTGGATACATTGTCGTAGTGGATCAAGTTGTAAAGGTCAAGATTCTCGTAGTCACACCCCGACGCAACTTTACAAACCCGTTGACAATTCTTCTTCCTCTGGGGTAAATAATCTGCTTGTTTTACGACGCGAGTATCGGCTGTCAATCACAGTGTAAACATAATCTAAAATGCAGGTCACTTTGAAGGAACGTAGTCCTAAGAGACCGGCTTCGTGGACCGTGAAAAATCAGCAGTCGAAGAAACGCAACGCGGACAGTGACACGAACACTAGTAACGGTGGCCATCGCGGTAGCATTCACGAGAAATTCAAGCAGGGCTCCAACAGAAAGGACCACTGGGCCACGGCCAAGCAACATATTTTAGAAACTCATACGAATAACGAAGACACTCAACGGGAGGATACTGAGATTGAGAGGAGACGGAGAAGACGAAGGAAAGAGGGTGACAGTAGTTCGACTGGGGACGGGAACGCGCCCGGCAGTAGTAAAGTCGATGCTAGCCGCGTTACCACCGAGGAAGCCAAGACTAGGCGAGTGCCGCGAAAGTTACCTCTACAGTCCGCAGTGGAGCAATCCCAGTCGTGGTCCGACGCCGAACGTAGGAATAGTGGTACTGCGCAAATTAAAAGTAAAACTAGGCGAACGCCAGTGAACAATGACGCACAGAATTGTTGTGAAATGAACGAGGCCAGATCGATGAATCGAGTGACTCGAAACGGCCTCCGAAATTGGGAGGCGGAATGTACGTCTAGCAACGGTATAGAAGAAACTACTGATGCGAATGCGATTCGTAATGCCATGTGGCCCGGACAGTGGCGCCCACCACCAGATGATGTTCAACCTTGTTCTAGCAAAACTATCGATCCTTACAGCTTTGCCTGAACGTTTTGTGAATCGTCTTGTACGAAAATACGAAGCACACACATACACACACACTTTAGGTAAAAAAATTAACTTGTTCCACCTTGAGCAGTTTCTGCGAACAGTTTGTGACATAAAGAAATTTTTTACATGCCAAGTACATCTATATACTTTACGTTGAACTTTTTTTTTTAATAAATTGCAACAATAGTTGATGATACTTGTAACTTAATTGAAAATTTGATACTTTTGTTTTGTTTGCACATAAACTCTACTTAATTTTAACACATTTGGTATTCTGCATTTGATAATGCATAGTGATTGAAATAGGTAATTGTATTTTACACGAATCTGTATTTTCAACTATCGATGAAGACGGATGTAACTTAAAATGTTAACGTAAATTATATAGATTGCTATATTTCGTATATGCAATAGGTGAAAAAGATTGTAGCCCGGACTTATAAAGTTTGTCGCTATCGGAACTTTTACAGGACAAAATTGTGTCCAAAGATTTAAAGTCTTGTATAAAATTATTGCTGCCTTGTACATTTTGCTGCCAAGAGGATAGGTTCTCTTTAGTTGTTCGGGTCCTGACGTTTTGCATCACACAAAACCAGACTGCCCAACTTTGATAAGCAAATAATGCCACTTCATTCCAATCATGTACCAAATAATAAATCTAAAGTAAGTTTTAATGGGATTTTGTAAGTATAAGACCACTATATAGCACGTAACACTAATATATATTTGACTAATTATTTCTATCATATTTTGATGCCAACATATTTTGAGCTCCATGCATACTTGGAAAAGCATTTAGCGCGTGCAGGGAGAAATTGCCTATTGTTTAAGATGAAAGTGTATATATTAAACCTTGAAAGGATTATATGCATATATAGTAAAATACAGCTAGACCGATCTTTCTATCAATCCTATATACAAAGAACGGCAGTTGCAATTGCAAGTCGCGACTCTAATTTCCCTATTTATTCTTAAATTTATATGCAATTGCATTTTTTAAATACAAGCACGTTTCTTTATTCAATTAATATAATTAAACATCTAGATTTATTTTAAAATGCTTAAAACATTAATGCGATTATAAGCAAAGCATGGTAAAATTAAAATTAACGTTACAAACGCTTGAAAACGATGCTTTTAATAAAATGCTTTTGATAAAAAAATAATTATACGCAAAATTAGAATAATTTTTTGCGTTCCTCGGTTTAAGATTTAATTAAGCTATTATCGGATAGCTTATTACTAATCAGCAACATAATATTAAAATCACGATAATATTTTATTTTGCAATGACAATACCTTTATATGTATATTTCACACAATGGCCTTATAGAATTTTAAATTTTTATTAAAGCACGTTTTGAGAGGTATGCTAAAAGTAATTCCATATAGAGAGACTTTTTTATTGACTCGTAATAAAATTATAAGACTTAATCAGTATTCTTTGCATTGGAAGATCGGTTTGGCATTAGTTCCCGTATGAACTGAACAGTATGCGTGGAACGATTATTCATTGTATTATTCCAATTAGCTCACACTCTGAAATGTGCTCATTATATTACAAAAGTGTCATTCTTGCACAAGGACGGATTTACTTAAATCACATAAGTTTTATTTGAATTACACCCTAATTAATACTAATAATTTTGAGAAATAATGTCAATAATTGGTTGTTTCTTATCAAATCTTAATTGAATATTTTCACATATATCAACACAGAAACCGATAGATTTTTGCCGATTAATTTAAGATTGATTTTAAAGAAGAATAATCCGTCCCTGTTCCTGTACGCATCATTTATACAAGTCTTACGTAGTTTTAAAATTATTAGAAGAACAGTATTATTGTATTAATTGTATTGTCCCTTTAGTTTAATGAGAAAGTCTAGTCACCTCTAGTCAGGCACTTTTTTGTACAATTATACAATTGATAATCCATCAAATTAAAGAGCAAAATATTTTTTAGTACATACATATCGTGTTAGAAGTACAATTCATCTTAGAAGAAAACTGTTGAGCACTTGTTTTCCGATTCATAATTCCGTTGAATCTCTTAATATATAATAGCATCACATAGTCTTCAGAATTTCTATGATATCTCGTTTTCTCCTTCGTTTAATGTATCACGACCATTATACGAGCGAATAAATATAAAAACATATTAGCTAAATCTTGAGTAAGACAACTATTTTGTCTGACAACAGCTATTTTGTCTTTTGATACGATGCCGCGAGTATAAACACAAATAAATTACACATTTATCGAACTTTGATGCGTCGACCTTAAATCAATTAATAGTGTAAGAGAAATGCGTGTTCATATAGATTCATAAAGAGAAATAGCGTATAATACAGCAGCTTCGTTGTGGCAAATATCGATAGTGTTATAATTATTGGACACAGTAAGAAATGATAAGTAACTCTTCTGTATATGATTCATTCTTGGTACACTGAGAGTTGAAAAAGTATGATTGTCTCGAAATAAATAATGTTACGTGAGAACAAAGGTCTATCCAGACAAACTTGCATAGGTGCATTTTCTTATGCATATGCATGACAAAAAGGTTTAGTCCTTGCGTGTGCTTGTGGACCAATCAATTTTCTTATGCATGTGTTTATACGCTGTGCAAATTTTCCTGGATATACCCTAATTGAATAAAATGTCACCTGGCGTAAAAAGGCAATTAACTTTGAGCTAAATCAAAGTGTACAAACACTGCCAGAGAAAATATAACGCTCTTTAAATATAATGTATAATATCGATTAAGTTCTCGTAATGACTTTACATTCGAGGCTTGTAATTTTATGATTTGTAATTCGAATTTGCATAGTTTCGTGTCATTTTATTTCACGTTCCATATTGCTATGGTTGTAATAATAACAGATCTTTTAATGCTAATTCTCAAATTTCTCAACAAAATTAAAAAAAACAACGTCATTTGTTAAACAATACTATCAAATGATGGAGGCACAGCTGATGGATTAAAGTCATTATTACTACTAAAGATTAAACTGTAACTTGACTTCGATACTCGCAACAATTATTTGCTTCAACGAAGTTAATATAATAAATAGCAGTATGTTTGTGATACATGAGAAGCACTGTTTCTTTAGAATTTGTATGAATAAATTATCATCCAGGCAATAAATTTCGATTACGATTAATAGACGCAGATTTCTTTATTAAGTTTTACAATGAATTTGTAGTGATAGCATGACAATCCAGATCTGTACATGACCTGAGTCCTTTAAAAATTAGGCGAACTAAAAGGAATCGATAGGAAAAGTCATTGCGGTTAATACAGGTATTTTAATAAACATTTTAAATTAATTAAAAACTATATTTATCGTAATGTCGAAAATTAGAAGTTTAATTGCACAAAATAAATTCCTGTCAATTTGTTTTAATTCTCCTAGCTGAATAATTTAACTGGCCTAATTCCTCATTCGCTGAACGATAGACACACATGTAACGCGTTACATGTCCGTAATACAAAGTGTTCGTCTCGTTTGAATATTTCTAATGTGTTTTAATATTTATGTGAATGTATTCGGATATTGATATATAATATATATATATACATAACATATAGCGTCATTGTATTTATATATTTAGTTACATGTGAATGAATAATGTGATGCTGCCAATAATTATAATAAACATCAAACTGTAACGACATATTGTGGGATTGTTAGGCGAATCGTGAGTCAAATGTCTTTGCAGAAAGTCTGAAAATGAATATGAATAAGTACGACGGCTGGACAGATTACCAAGTATGACGTAGATATCGTACGACAAAAGTGGTCTTGGCGATTTGTCGAGCTGATAGCGAACGATCTGGACAATAAATGATTCATGAGTCACATAACACCTAAGTTGTAGCATTATCACGTATTCTTTTAAATGTCATTTTGTACATCTAGGAGTAAATGAACGACGAGTATTATACACTATTGACTGTGCGGAGTTGTGCGTGTGATTGTGTATGCTACTTAACAATATATCACAAATCTAGTCAGAGTGAACCTTGTGTTGTTACTTGAACAGAACAATGTATATTTGTTAAACGCGGCTCGATTGGCGACAGTTAAGTATAACGTATTCTGCCATTGAAAAACCATTGTCACGCAATCGTCCGAAATACAAACGAAATTATCAAAATTGATGCGCGATCAGTTGAACTTCACAAGAGTCACGCCTTATGAGAAACCAAAGTGTCTAACGAAAACATGTATGTATAAATCGTTATATATGATAACTTTTCCATAGTCAATACATAATGATTATTTTCAACGCGAAGATAAGGCTAATACAAAAGATGAACATTTAGAATAAGAACCAGCTTGTCGAGCTTACATACATAATATCAATCTAATTACGTGAATTTTCAATATTTTTATCCTCACTGTTATATAGTGTCGTTACTGTCAATTCTTCAAATTGATATTCGAAGATATCGCGTAGGAATTAAGAGGAATATTACTATTTACGCGTGCAACACTTCAATGGAACTTCTCGTCAAATTAACTTAGGAGAATCGCTTAATTGTTGACATTATTGCGTTCAGTCTCCTTTAATTTTCCAACTACTTCTTCCAACCTTTTACGACGTACGCAATACCTTGTTTCATCGCTTCTAATTAGCATAGAGAAATAGGGATATATATGTCCGACGTAGCGATGAATCCAGCCGCTTGAAGATTGAAGAGACCCAGAAAATATCACATAAATTCGACCGCAGTGTTGAACATAAAACTCATACTTCCGATGTACTCCGATTGTTGAACACGTAATTTAGCTTACCTTCGAGTTTGGGCGTACGAAGGCGAAGTCTGTAACGATATGCGGTAAGTACACGTGTTCCTGGATCTTACTTACGTTTCTGTATCTTCTTACCTGCCGTTGAAGTCTCAGTTGCTTTAGTAATAAATATTTACAGATGGATCTCGTCCAACTGTATCGATCACAGTTTACGCTCGATAATCCGGATAGATCCGCCGGACACGTCGAAAATTGCGGCTTCGCTATCAAATGACGCTGATGGTGAGGCAGGTGTTGCTGCCGGCACATGTAATTCGAATAATACGGATCATCATAGGCTGTTAAATGACCCGAGGGAGATGCTAAAGAATTCGATATTGCAACTGTAACAAAATTTAAGTAATTAATATTTAACACTTTTTGTATCTGATTACTATGATTTATTATGTTCCACACAAAGTACACTGAAGTATGTCTGAAGGATTACTTAACAGAACGTGTTATATACTCGTACAATATGGCATTAATGTGATTTTTTTGTTATTAACCTTTCGTTCTCTGAACACTCAATAATGTGTCGTAATATCGTTTCTTGTCTGCAGCTAGTTGAAACATTGAGCGAGCTTGAAAATTGTTATCTGACGTTACATTATCCGATTCTGATTCTTCTATTTCGCACCTGTATCGGAAATCGTTTTGTTATTATATTGACACGATCGCGCGCACAATTAAAACGTTCAGTAGAATAATCATACATTTACCCATAATGTAATTCTTCCGTATTTTTTTCTTTACATTCAAATGCAGTTTCTTCCTTTTTTGTATCGTAATCTAAATTATTTTGTCGCAATTGCAGTTCAGTTACTTTATTGAATTCCTGAGAATTGTGTTTCGTTTGCAATCCATTATCATAAGTAATAGCTTGCTGTTTTGTCCTTCTGGTCGATTTTTTCTTATTTTTTTCCACGTTAATATCTATATTTTGCTGTTTTAAAAGTAAGCAGTTGTTGCTGTCGCTGCTTGAGACATTGGATGTAAAATCTTGTTCTAAAACTTTTGGTGGTGTTCCAGATTTTAGTTCTTTTGGTGTGAAATATACCATATTCAAGGAGTTTATCTGTGGATGCGACTTGATGCGTGGAAAGCCCGACAATTCTGTATATATGAGAAATTACTTTTATAAATTTGTATGTTATCTATAAATAATATACATATTAAATAAATTGATTGAATGCACAATGTTACCAACGAAAATTCCTTCTTGGGCTCGCTTTAAAAAGTTATTTAAGCTCGTTTTCAGTTTATCGCGCGCTGTTGGTAAGAGGTCGTCCGCCTGTAGAATGAAATTAATTTAATTTTGTCTCTGGAAGTATTCTAATCTAAACTGAAACGTGTCATATCTTGTCTCTAATACATTCACGATAATATTTTGATCTTCGTCCCAACACACATCCATTTTATGTATATCACTTTTAAGTTTCTGTTTAATTGTTGCATCTTGACCGGCATCGATTATCATATATGAAATGCCAGAATTTTCATCCTTGTCAAATGCATATTCATATTTTTTACATTCGTATTTAACATCGTTCAATTGTTGGGGAATCTTATTTTGCCACAAGTTTCCTGTTATCTCAGTTTTATTACACATTTTCGTAGAGCTCGTACCCTAAAATTTATTAAATATACCTTGTAATTTACGTTAGTGTTTCATTATTTCAATTATCTCTCTTTTTTTTAATGCACAGACCTGATATCCCGTCTGAGACGAGTGACAAAGATGTGATTCACCAGTCGTATTATACATATTAATTCTAGCCGATACATAATATTTCTTATTAAGCAGATATTGTTGATAAGACAACGTTTGATATTTATTATTTTTCTCCTGCCAACTCTTTGGATTATCATTCAGATGATAACTGGATAAATCTGCCTGTTGATTGTACGATATAAAATTTAAACTAGCATTAGATGATCTATAAGTAAAAAATTACATTGTATAGCTCTGTTATGTAAATGGATTACGTTTTTTATATGACTGGGAATCATAGAAATTTCACTCTTGGAAAAACCTCGGAAAGGAAAAGCTTCGGAAAGCGACGATTTAAGATTCGTTGCATTTTTATCGTTTAAAAAACTTTGCTTTGGTGATGAAATACTATCCCTTATCCCGTCCATGTTTTTAGTATCCAATATATTTTGAAACGTGTTACTGTTGATGTAATAATATCAAGGTATGAAATTATATAATTATATATATATATATATATATATATATACATATACGCATAAAGAGGGCTTACTTTTCTTGCGGATTGAGTTTAATAAAACCTGTAGTTGAACGAAACACTTCTTCAATCGTGTGATCTGGTATATTGTTTGGAGAAGGTATCATTGAGAGCAGTAGCTGCTTTTTTTGGATACCACAATCATCTAGTAAATCTTGGACTTTTCTCAGCACACATTCATATGCGTTAATACCATCTTTCGGTTGATACATGTGCAGTACTGACATTATATTCGAAATATTGTCCCCCTCGTAATCGTGTTGTATAGCTGAATATAATGAAGAAAAATCTAGTGCCGATGCAATGGTATCGGTGTCCTTCGTTCTCTCTACTAATTGGAGAATATATATTTTAATTCTATATTTTATAATAATATACAATTTTGTTATGTCCTATAAATAATTCTCTATAAGACTAAAATCTAATTTTATATTAGTCATCAGATCTAATCATTTCTGCTTACAGAACTGTAAAATGTTGTTTAATCAAAATAAATAATCATATAAATAAATATGATTTAATAAATGGAAATTGACAACCACAATCTATGCAACTATTGTTTTTATTTCTGGATAATTACATCGAGATGTGTTACTCACGGTTCTCAAAATTGTCCATGCTCGCAATATACTTAAGACTTAAGTTGAAAGGAGAGCGACAAATTGTTCACGACGACCTTAAGTATTATCCTACCAAATTCGACGAGTCAAAATAAGGTATTTGTGAAATAATTGAGGTATTTCCATTATTGAAAACAGCTGACGAATGCAATGCACACGACTCATTTGTAAAACGCATCCGTAAAATGCGCTACTTATATACATAGTGAACAAAAAATGAGTGACTCTGAATAAATTGGAAAGGAAGAACATTAGTACGATGTATTTTCTTTTTAAAGCAAATGTTAAACGCGAGCAGTTCTCTCATATTTCCTCTCCCTTCGAGAAAACACGATTATCTTCGCCGTTTAAAATAGACATACTTACGCTCTTGAAAAGGAAATCGTATTTCTCCAGGAGGAAATTGCATCGGTTAATTAAAATACACAACTGCAAGTTCTACATGTGGCGAGTGGATTATTTTAATGAGGCTCCGTTGCGGAGCTCGGACCGCAGCATTCTCCATGCGGATAATCCTGGGGACTTTGCAAGGATTATTGATCAATGATTATTATAAAAGGGAGTTCATGGCATAGACCGCGTTACTTAGTACAATGCCCCGACAGAAAGCACTTTTACTTTCTGCCTGCCTGCTGGCGTTCGTTGTCAGTTCAACTCTGGCACTTCCACCCGGAGCACCATGGACAAACTTTGCACCCAAGCCTGGTAATATATTGCTATTTTTGTTATTTATTTTGTAATTTAAAGAGAAATTTTATAAAGAAAATTTGCTGGGTATTTATTCAGAAAAATTAGATCTAACTTTTAAATTTAAAGTCAAATTATTCCAAATGTCAGATGTGAAATAGAAAACTAAATTCTAAATAGAAGGGACATTTTTATTATTTTCTATTTTAAAAAAATTTGAGATTACAAAACAGATATTTTAAATAATTTGACGATTTTAAATATAAAGATTTCTTGCTAATTATTCCCAATTTATTAATATCTTGTTATGTGTGCAAAAGATACGATTAGCTCTCGTGCTGATCATTATTTTGGAATTTGTAGTTTATTCGCGAGCCCTCGGACCTCCAGGAGGAATAGGCACGATTTCCGTACCCTATATGCCAAAATCTCCGCTGGTGCCAAAGTTCGTCGACCCGACGGCATTTATTTCTAAAAAGACAGATATGCTGAGTAACATGTTCGGCGGTTTAGGACCAGTTGCGTATAATATGGCAGATACCAAGCCGATCATGCCATACGGCGTAAGTGGACCGTCTTTCGATAGCACTGATAGTGCAAGTGCATTATTTAATAAACGAGATGCACTACAGGATGGTAAAGGAAAAATGCTCGACAGTAGCGGTATGTACAAACGCGGCATGTTCGGTCCGTTTACCCCAAAGTTTGGCCCAATGGGTTCGATGGGTCCGATGAGTCCAATGAGTCCAAAATTTGGACCCGTCATGCCATTTTCATCATCGGAAATGATGCCCGATTTTATGGATAAGACAACTTTCTCTCGTAGAAGAAGAAGCGTAGAAACGCCTTCCTCCGCAGACAGCATTAATACCATTCCAGGCTCATCGTCTTATCCGAAGATAATAGAAAGCATGTCAGCGACCAAACCAGCCGCTGATGTACCAAAGGAATACTTGCCGGGAATGTTCGGACCTTTCGGACCAGGTGGACCTTTCGGGCCAGGTGGACCTTTCGGGGCGGGTGGACCTTTCGGGCCAAGTAGCTCTTTCGGACCAAGTAGTTCTTTCGGACCAGTGGTGGACCCGAGCGCGATCGTCTCAAAGAAATCGGGATTTCTGGATACGCTCTTCAAAAATCTTGCCACTAGCACTCCGGCAACGACAACCGACGTGCCTACGCCGAAGAGCACTATTGTACCACCCAGTTTCTGGATACCATCCGCCATAATTCCCGGTCCGACCGAATACACTCAGAAGGTGTCGGACTTTCTGGACAAATTGTTTGACAGTATAAATGTAACAGCGTCAGAAGCGAGCGACGATTCGGACGCAAAAAGTGATTTTATGAGATCTTTAAAACCTGACATTTCGTCGGACAAAATCGCAAGATCCTTGGATGATGCGTCGTCCATCGCAGCCGCTAAAGACGCAATCGTCGACACAATACTGTCGGAACTTGGTGATTTAAAAGGTGACATGATGGCGACTTTGAATGACTTGATCACGTACGAGAAGACTGCGGCAGCTGCCGCCTCTCCGAAAAAGCCTTTTAAACCTTTCTCTAGTATATTTGCGAAACCGACGGTGGACCCAACGCTTCCATTTCAACAGAGAATGACTGTGCTCAGTCAAGTATTCGATATGCTGACGGACCTGCAAAGGAACATCAGCGTGGTCGCGAAAAACGCAATGGCAACCAATGCTAGCGCTCCGAACAATCCTGAATTGTCGAAGGTTCCATTAACTAACGCCGCAGCTGACGCTCCACCGATTAATAGCACTCTCTTGAACGCCATTCTGAAGAAAATATCTGCTCTTGACACTGCAACTCCGGCTTCCTATTCGGTTCCTTATCCAGCTTCTTATTCGGCTTCTTATCCAGCAAATCCCGCTAAGGAAAGTCCTGTAATGAGCAGAGCTCTGCCTAAAGGTCCTACGTCCTTCTGGGTGTCTTATCCAGATAATTCGGTGCCTGCTGCAAAACGACAGGTGGATGATGATTTGCTACCATTCTTCGGAGACGACGATGATCGGCATGATCATAGGCAGTACACGAGAGGCGTCCAAATGCAGATGCATCAGGGTTATCAGAGTCTACCTGCAGGTTCAGTGGAATCTGTACAAGCAGGGGGAGGTTCTACACCTGGACATCAAGGAGGAGGAATCAAGTTGTTGGTAAGTGCGATTTTATTTGGAAAGACGAATAATTTTAATGACTAACTGAAACATCGAGAGAGGAAATTTAAGTCGTTAATTATAAAAATGTGTAAACTCAATCTTAAACACAGAAATTTTCCTACAGCTTTGATATGGAAATTATCTTGGAGCGAAGAAAAAGTTTCGAAAAGTTGTAATTTATTTATAATGGCAGTTTTACAATTCCATAAATAATTTTTATATTCAAAAATTGCTATGTTAATTGGATAAAAATTACTAATCGATTTGTATCGCTCCCTTCTTAATGTTTCAGTTATTATGCATAATGATTATACATTACTATTATCTTAGACTAATATTACTTTGTTTAATATTATCATAAACGCCGACTTTCTCATTTTAATTTATGAATGTCACGATGTTTATAAAATGTACAGGAATCTCTCTCCAAACTGGTAGTATAAAAAAATGGAATATACTCGTCATCAGAGATGATTCCTAATATGCTTTGCCGTTTCTTAACTCTATCCTTAAAAACTATATGCGTCTATTTACTTATTCACCAAGAACTTACAAAAATAAAATTAAACGCTCCAACAAAACAGTAAATTAATCATTCGATAATTTAATAAAAGCCAACGTGCATATGTACAATTTTTTCAATTGTCGTATAACGCGCTATAATACCTTGGAAGCCTACGTACACAATTATTGCACTGGAAACGAGGAATAACAAGTTACATAATTACCTAACATTTTTCGCCGAAGACCTTGTTCTCTATTTAACCGAGCAATACCCGCACGAAGCTATAAAATATAATAACCTGATTTGCTATAAAAGCTATAAAATATAATAACCTGATTTGTTTTCAGATTCAAATGCCTAAATTGCCTAACTCTCAAGCTCCAGGCTTTCAAAGTATTAATTACAGTTAAGTACGTGCAAAATGTCTCTGAATTACGAATATCGCGGGCATCTGTTCGTCTGTCGCAGGAACCGAACGCTTACGGAGACTCGAACAAATGGGCTGACTGGATGCAGTATCATGAGAATGAATATCAAGATCGTAGGCACCATCGTAACCACCATTAGGCCACTCAGCCAGCAGGAGTATTTCTTTCACTCATATATTTACGCGATTAGTCCTCAATGAAAAATCTTTTTTTACAAATGTTATCCAAAACGTATAAGTAAACGTGTACGATATTGATCAATTACTTCCAATAAAATATACTTGGCAGAAAAAGATAAGAAGAAAACGGCATTGTACACAGTCATTTTAAATTATCTGCGACACATAATTGAGACACGATGTACAAAGAATGAATCTGAAATGTCGGATTTATTGCACCGTTCGTTTTTCATCGACCACAATACACAGTACTTCTCCTATTTCTGCACCGAAGGATATGAAAGGTGAATGCTCTCTCTGATAATACCTAGTCTATTCTCTATGTAATCGTATTCCAATAATAGCAGTAATACGTTGATGTGCCCATCAGTCGCGCAGACAGACCGCGACACACGGACGCAATCCTGCATCAAGTGCGTTGCTTTGTTCGTCGATCAGCAATGCATTGCACGCAGGGTAGTGTTAGTGTGTTAGGAAGCATCACAGTTTGGTTACGCGACGTAACGTTCTATAAGAGCGTGCACGTTATTATCTAACATTAATACGACTTCGAACAAGTGGAGAGACAAGTCTCTTTACTCCGGTACGAAAAACGTCACTTATAATACTCGCTAGATATACCTGATTTTGTTTTTACCCTCGTTACACTTTCATACAAAATTGTGGAAATATTGGCAGTATCGTGGTAAGTATAATATTATAGACTCGCGTGTTGCCCGTTTCACATCTCAGTAATTCGAATTGCTAGAGACACGATCTACATTCGTAAGTAACGAGCCACCTTCGGATTCGTCGCAAAAGCGAAGTATTCTTACAACTCTTTGGTACTTTACTATTGATTGTACTATACTCCCTTAACGGTGAGTCACTATCATCTGCCTTTCGTGATTCTAGTGATAAGATACTCCATTTGTTGATCAATACGGAACACCATGTAGAACGATGCTAGTATGCTACCCAACGTCACCAGGAATCCTAATCCCTCGAATATTAGCTTCGGCGCAAATATCTTCCAAACCATTAAGTGCCGACAGTGTATAGTCGCCGCGAGCATGCTGCCGAAGGTCTAGAAGATAAACGTGACGGCTAACGATACGGACATATACACTTGGGTGGACTCACCTTGGACAAGAACGAGGGGTAAACCGCTGACCAAAATCATGTGCACCAATGCCTACTAATGCATTAAAATTCGACAGTGATGCCCAGTGGCCATTACTTTATCTAACGCTCCAGCAAGGCCAAATAACGCCCACTAATGTCCCAAAAATGCCTAGTAGTGCCGCAAATCTGTACACCATGGTGCCTTCAGCGGTTTACCCCTCGAAGAAACAATTCTCAACGTTATGTGTATATCTTACACGACATACCCGAATCCCGTGAAGCAACGTGTATTTCCCGGCAATCGCGAAAATTGCAGCGTGAAAAGCAGAGTCTTGTTCGAACAGGAGAAGCTCGCCCCTCTTTATATCGTCGAGAAACTTTGCCTTGAGAAACTTTGGAAAGACCCGATGCAACGTGAATGGCACGACCACCAATAGCGGTAGCGTCGCGCCCAGTATAATATGCGATCCAAACGTGTTAATACCTGAAAATCAAAGAACTGCAGGTGGAGATTTTAACTAGGAATGTGCCGGATATCCGGCAAATATCCGGTATCGGGCCTTTTATTATTATCCGGCAAAATATCCGGCTGTTTTTATATTAAAAATTTGATAGTTAAATAAACTAATCATTTTTTATTAGATTAGTTCTCTAATGTATGTATGATCTTTTTTGCAAAGGTATATTTTCAACAATACTTGGTCAGTGATGCAAATTCTGTCAACTAAATTTATAATTTTTAGAGCACTCTTCAACACAACTGTCTATAATTTTTAATTAAAAGAACTTATTGCAAAAAATATTGTCTCAGCCAGGATCATCTTGGCTGCAGTAATATTTTTCCCAATAATATGGAACATTCCACTTTAACATTAATAATTATTCCCTTTTTTCAATACTAATCGTTGTGACTATTTATTGTTTGCTCCAAAATTTCTAAAGTTTATTAAAACTTGTTACTTTATTTTATAGAGATTTCATCTCATTAATAAAAAAGTTAAAATTATTTTAATATGGGCTCAAGGGCATAATTTCATGTACAAGTTTGTCTGAATCAAATACTATGTTCAAGAGATAGATAGGCGCTCCGCAGCTGCAACATTCGACACTTCAAACTTCCATATGACATCAAATTGATATCATCTTGATTTTCATTTCTCCTTGGATATGTACTATAATATTGTTACTTAAATTAGTGACGAATATCCGGCCGGATATCCAGTATCCGACAATTTCACTATCCGGCACATCCCTAATTTTAACTGGCGGCATCGATACCTACCGATTAAAGTCGCCGACACCAAGTTCCCGTAGAAGTGGCCGCCAGTTCCTACGAAGGCGGCGTGCCAGTGAATGGTGGGAAACGTCGCCTGATGGCCGGTCCCGTAAAAGAAATACTCAGCCAGCAGGAACCAGCAAAGTAACACGGGCATCGATACGTCCACCAGCTCAGCTGTACGCAATATAAAACGTTAGGGGGATTAAAGCCCTCGCTGCGCAGGAAACAGAGAGATTCTATCGCTTGTACTTACAGATATTGTTAGCGTTTTTGTATCTCTCTATCGCGGATAAACCCAGTACGCAAGCACACGTAACGAACATCAAGAACGTACCAGGCGACAGAGTGTCTCCCAACAGCAACGCGTACAAAAGTGTGAGGAATACGCTCAGCGAGATAAACGCAGCGCTGTAGGCGGTCCCGAAACCGTAAATCACCGGGAGTTCGTCGGTATCTATTCGCTTGCGGGAAATGGAGTCTCTTATCTTCTCGAATAATTGAGGCACTATGTTCTCATCGCGGTAGACGTCGATGGATTCCCTCTTCTTCGGCAGCAGGTACACGCTAAGCGGACGATAGTAGAGGACGAGGATCGCGAGGACGCAGAAGAAATAAACCAAATTGGGCAGCGTATTGATCTCCCAGGAGAGCGCGAGCTTCGGCTTGCCGAACTTGGGGAACTTTTGCAGGATCCAGTAGCAACCCATGCAAACGATGACGATAATCGGGAAGTACTGTCCCACTATGACGCTGGGGGCGAAGCCCGTGAGATTGCCACAGCCCTGCAGCCACGACCTAACTATCACCACGTACAACGCCAGGATGACCGAGGCGAGCAGCACCGCGAGCAGCGCGCGCTCCCAGTTGTTCGGCATCGTCGACCAACCGACTTTACCGGTCGCAAATATGGAGCAGTCCCGCTGCAGATGTTCCTCTCTGCAACGCCAGAAGTAATGCGACAGCCTCACCGAGGCGCACGCCAGTAAACCGATAATCAGCACGAGCGAGCGAAAGTTGGACCTCGTCGGCCTCGAGTTGGCGAATCTCGTCTTCCTCTCGGAAGCGCCGTCGGGCTCGTTCTTTCTCAGGTCGAATATGAGCAGGCAAACGAGCGTGACGAACAGGAAGGACAGGACCCTGTCCTCCTCGACTATGTAACTGTTGGAGAAGAGACCGCACACTGTTAGAAGAAGTATTATCCTGGCTACATAGGTCAACAGCTTGATTCGACGATGGTCGTACCAACACATCGATATGACGTCCCAATTCTGGGCGATCACTATGACCAGCAGACCGATGGAAACCGCGCCAGTGACGAAGAAAGTCGTGTTTCGCAATTCCTCTAGAACGTCCAACAGAAACAGACACGTGGTGATTACCGCGGTGAGGAGATTCGCTATGATGGCGCATTGCAGGAACGAAGACTTAAATATGTCACACATACGACTCTCGGGGATACCGGTGATGAAGAGATAGAAGAAGAACAGGGAGCAAAACATCAAGAGCAAACCCTTGGAGATCAGTCCGGAATCGAATTGGACCCACACCTCCGAGCACGTGTCCTTGAGTAACTTGAAGTAGTCCCTGGTGTCGCGAATGAACGCCTCCAGTTTCTCCAAGCTGTCGACCTGATTCACTCGCTCGGAGAGAAGACTGTACACATGGTGCAGATGCTGCAGTTGCTCCTTCGAGAACAGGTACGTGTCCGCGGAATAGATCTCTATGTACTGCTTCGTCTGGGCGACGTTCTTCCACAGAGAGTGCAGAGGATACAGCAACTGACCGGCGGCCACCTCGTCCGCTCTGCTCGGCAGGCAGTCGAGTATCACGGAGCCCAGGTTGGAGAAGGGAATCGGCGTGCCGAGGATCGACGCCAGGGTGGGCACGAGGTCGATCTGATTGACGCTATCGTTGACCGCGAATCCCTTCAACAGCGGAGTCGTCGAGTAAACGAACATCGCGGCCTCGACCTCGTTGGGGCTGTCGCCACCGTGGTCCCCGGTCTCCGTCATACCGTGATCGCCCACGACGAAGAGCATCATGTCCTTCTCGAGGGACGCCACGATCTCCTTTATAAGTGTATTCGTGTCGTTGAGCTTCCTCGTCATCTCCGGATGCCGCATGCCGTGCTTGTGTCCGCAGTGATCGACCCCGAGCGTGTGCGCTATCAGCAGCGACCAGTCCCGCTTCTTCATCTCGAAGAAGATGCGGTACTGCACGTCCTTGTCCACGCTGTCCAGGTCCCAGACGTTGAACGACGGCGACGGGAACTGCCTCATGAACTTATCCGGGAAGAGATTGGTCCACGTGTCGTCCCCCATGAAGACGATACCGCCGGCGGCGTTCTGGTCGATGAGATTATCCTCCTGGATGTACTCCGTGGCGAAGTTGGAGCCCACCTCTATGAAAGTGGGCAGCGAGCCCGTGGTGAGGCCCTTGAGGCGCTGCATGGTCGTGGTGGGCGGATCGGCCACGAATTTGTACAGGCGAGAGTGCGACGGGTGCTTCTGCAGCAGCTCGTGAATCACCGGCAATTTGTTGCGATGGTAGGAGGACGCGGCGGTGGTGGCGTCATCGTCCTCGTGCCACTCGGCGAACTCGTACTTCAACGCGTCGACGATCAGCAGGACGACCCGCGCTCTGCGCTCCAGGCACACCTTCGCCGCGCGCTCCGTGTCGCGGAGGATGCCCGCCGTGTCGCAGCCGCCGGCCGCCGTGCACCGCGTCGCGCACTCGGCCCGTTCGGGCCGGGAGACGCGGTTCAGGAGGAAGCCGCTGGTGAACACCAGCAGACCGGCCGCCATCAGGTAGGACATCCATGCTTGGAACACCAGGTAGTTCCATAGCCGGCTCATCTTCGTCGCGCGCGGTTTTTCTTCTTCACTGGCGGTACAACGCGGTCGAGGGAACCGCGACCGGGCGAGAGTTCAACCCGCGGCGCGCCGGTGCATCCTCCACCATCGTCACATCGGGACGATCGGCCGCGGGATTGTTTTGGCCGCGCTAAACGCGAGGGACGTCCAATCGATAATTCATGTGTCGCGGTTCGACCGTCAACCTAACCTCAATCCACTCCCCGCTGCGCGGAACAAGCCGCATCGATACAGTTCAACCAGAGACAGAGAGAAGCCTGAGAGCGGCCACGCCGTAGCCGTTAGGGTAGAGATGAAATTCCATCGGTCATTCTGCTTTTTTTCAGCAGGAAAAGCTTTGCAACTGTTGTAAAAATCTTGAATCTGATTGGCTCCTAATTATGGCAGAATTTAAGAGGATACTCCAATCAAATTTACAAATTTAATTTACAACTGTTGCAA